GCCTGCTCGTTGTACCCCCCACCCCAACGCCAGGGGGAGAGGGGACCGGGGCCAATCATGTCGGTATCCGGGAGAGCCGATTCGACTTTCACAAGTGCCTCGGAGTCACAGTTTCACTCGGAGATGGGTTGGCGACGGTGGGCCATGGGGACGAGTCCCGCTCCCGAGCGTTGGACGTCTCGAGTTGGTTGGATCGTCTTACCTCCCCTCCCTAAGGCTTCAAAGGTGCCGAAACTCAATTAGGCGAGAAGAGCAGACGTCAAATTAGAGCGATCAGGATGTTCGTCTTCGTCTGTACATGTGTGTGCGTGTGTGACAACTATGGAGGATCTGTTATAGTTTTGCATGCGCACACATTCCTGTTGTTTCTATGCCTCTCGGTAGGAGGCTGACTATCTTCTCATTAGTTGTTTTCGCTGACAACGTCTAAGCCCAGACTCGATGAGCGAAGCCGGTTTGTAGAGGTTGGAGGTGCTGTCGTGCCTTGAAGACATACCTCGGGTACACTCTGACAATAACCACTCTGAGCCGACGCATTACATGTGTGTGTGTGTGTGTGTGTGTGAGTGTAGATAGAAGTATCCTAAATCTCCTTTAACGTGAAGTCGGTCCTCCGGCAATTAGTCCTGAAAACCAAACTCTGAAGTTTGGCTAGACGTTATTGCATGACATTCATCTCTAGCCTGGAGCATGTCTGTGTGTGCATTTGTTGGCTTGTGTGCGTGTGTGTCATCTCTTCTGTCTGAGAGACGGCAACGCAATTTGTGGAGGACTTATGAGATGCAGCTGCACATCATACAAGAAAAGGTGGAACACAGACCGACAATGCCGAGCTCAGGGAAGGTAGGCCTCGAGGAGAGTATTAAATGGTGAGAATAGGTTTTGATCAGTGCTGACCTGAATCGTCTCCGTTTTCTATACTGCCGCCGAAACCATCCAACGATCCTGAACTTGAGACCGTTTTTTTCACATCGTAAGCTGCACAGGCTCCCGAGTTTTTACGCCCTGGAAGTGTTTCATCCCCGAGACACACCTTCAGACAGTGTTGTGTGCCAGCAATCATCTGCAGGCTGGTTTTGCCACCCTACCAGTTCCAGTTATAGAGGAAGTGTGTGGTAGGTGGATCCCGTCGGAAAACAATGGCAAATTCCTCTTAACCAGCTTTCGATTCAGCTAATTCCAGCAAAACAGTCCAGAAGGCTTATCATCATTTCCTCACTGGCTGCATATATATTCTAACCTCTAAATTGTTGTATGGTACAACGTGATTTGGCTAGTTCATGCCATTTGCCAAGCTATGAAATTTGTCCACCCTATTTCGTTCAAGGTCGTGAGGGACTTGTAGTTATATTGTCCCACAATCATATGAATAGGTATCAGGCTTCCATTGAATTTAACATAGACTTGCTTTCGAGAAGATATTCTCACTCAGGCTAAATGGACTGCAGCTTCAATCTCGCCTAGGTATTATCAGCCCCGCAAGCGGGACTCGAGCCCGGGTTATGGTAATGCAGTGCA